GAGAGACAGAGAACTATCTGTGGGTTGGAGGACATCTTCAACCATTATCTCTTTGTTTCCAGTTAGTTTAACTGTTTCATCAACTTGTCCTCTTAGCATATGCCAAGCTGATTTTGCTTGTGTGCTGGAGTCTTGTTTTTCTACTAGTGCTAGTCTTCCAAAAAAGTGTTTTCCAATTCTTGGTGGCCAGTCTGTAGCAACAATAGGTTGATCTTTATACTCTTGTTTCAAAGTTTTAACATATCCTTGAACATCATCAGGTAGTGAACTAATGGATGTATCAGGTATAGACTGACCTAATGTATTGAGATATAATGACTATATTGATCACTGATAATGTACACACACACACACACACTCACCTAACTGGTGTAATATAGAGGTAGCAATATCGGTTAGTGTATCAAGTTTTTGGTTTATTAATACATGACATATATTAACAAGATACTGCTCTGGATTAAGAGAGGCTTCACACTGTTGCCCTAACACAAGTACAAGGTTCCCAGCTTTTGTACTGTCAGCTATTCCTGACACATGCATATCCTCTATAGTTTGCTGTGGTATCAGATCTTTAGCATACAGTGCAACAGATATATCGTCAAGATTCACACTAATAGCAAGAGCTAATTTATATGAATGACTCTGTAGTATATCTTTTGGATTATAACCTGCAATATAGTGCATTGATCACTGATAATGTACACACACACACTCACCTAACTGGTGTAATATAGAGGTAGCAATATCTGTTAGTGTACGATGTTGTTGGTTCATTAATACATGACATATATCAATAAGATACTGCTCTGGATTAAGAGAGGATTCCAACTGTTTTTGCATCACAGACACTAATTGACCTGATTTAAGTAAATGTGATATTCCTGTTGCTGTTTGAATATGATTAACAGTTTCCATTGGTATTAGTCCTTTAGCATACAGTCCATTTGTTATTCTGTAAAGATTATCAGTAATAGCATCAACAAGAGTAGCATAATTCATCCTTAATATAGCACCAGGAGTGTTACCTGCAGTAGTGTATCAGTTAATGAGTGTGTATTAAGTGTATGTTTACCTGTTATAGGACCAGGATTGAGTTCAACATCTCCTGATAAGAGGAGGAGAAGAAGCAAAACCAAATAGTTGATCAGGTCAGAGCTACTGCCAATAGTAGCTATAAACAAGACTAATGACTGGAGGCAGTGGATCATAACAGTAACAGTAATTATACCTATTGTAAATACACTGTATGATAATATTATAATACTGTTAGTTTGTTTACCAGTTGGAGGAATAAAATTGAGCTTCATATATCTTAATAAAAATAAAAGAAGAGAAACAATAAGAGACAGAGCTGCTGGCAGTTTAGATGTCTTTTCTCCTGATGTAGTACTGCCTGACTTGCTGTCTACTGCAGCTTTGAATGAGTGAGAGTGGCGGCCATTAGCTGGTCTACTGGAGGCAGCTTGACAGTAGTTCCACAGTCCAATACTTGCTCTCCATTGAGAGACATCAATCATCTTATACTATAGTATGGAGGACAATGAGAGAATTAGGTAACTTAAAGTGTATCTATTTCAGTGATCACTTACACCACAATAAAGAAAGAAGGACTTTATGAAGAGAAAACCTTTTCTATAAAAAGCACAATGTTCACTTGACTGGCTAACCACAAGCTAGAGGAAGTCCAGGGCTGTTATAATAACATTCATGTGATTGATGACATACAATAGGTAACCTAATGCTAATGCTAATAGTATTATTGTTATCAATGATGAGGCTCCTTTGTTGTACCATATAATGTACATTGCTAAGTTAGTAACTTTCACAAGCGTAAAAAGGAACAAGTTTTTGCAGTAGCAGGTCAGATACACTTGATGTCCCAGTATAAAGGATGGGTGTATATCCAGAGCCCAAGAAAAGTGGGTGTATGTGTAACTGAACTATCATTGAATTATATTCATGGATCATTATCAATGTCATGCGAGAAGTATCTTGGGAGTAACAGTGATCTATGAATACTTTTTTATATTAGTCATTACAACAGTTGGTATAACAACTAAATTTGTTCATCTAAAGCATCAACAAAATGTATAAAATAACTTAAGTTAATAGGCATTCATGTCATAAATTGTTATTATACTGAACTTATAAATGTTCAATGTTCATTTCATACTAACGTAGCTACATGAACATAACAATGTTATCAATTTACAGTCAGCTATTATTGTTCACTCCCTTCTCCTCTAAGTTCTTTCTCCTTCTCTTCTCTCCTCCTCCTCCTGGTTGTACTCTTCTCTTTGTCTTTGACTCAAGCTTTGCCAGATCAACTTCCTTCAGCAGTGTCTTTACACGTTTCTATGAGGGGCTTTAATTAGAACACTAATAAACATTGATTCCTTACATTTAAAAAGTTTAATCTCAGTTTTCTTTTAGTCTGTCTCTTGCTAGTCACTGGAGAGGGACGACCATCTATAAATAAATATTGGTAGAATTTAATCATTTTAGATGCAAGACAGCGATCTTTAATTGCAGTACTATACCACTATTATCAAAAAATTTCTGTAAAATTTTCAAACTTTCTGTATCTTGTGCAAAATTTACAAAAACTTAAAGGAAAAGGAAAATATTTGGTGGCATGTAATGTAGATTATCATTGCCCATAATTGCATGTGCTTACCCTCATAATTACAGTATTAGATATTAAAGTGTTATTCATATCCTTACCTACATAAGACCAGTCAGGAATATCAGTCAATGGACCATATGATGTACCAGTACGAGACATACCCATCCTAAATATTAACAAAAATAAAAATAAATTAAGAGAAAGCTTTTTACTTTTCTCTCCAGTTTCCTCCCGCCATGGCCAGTCCCCCAGTGTGTATCCTAGCAGTATTGACTCGCGAGATAAACTGGGGAAACGTCCTCAACGCTTTGATGCTGGCGGCCATTTTACCACAGGTAAGCACGTGGTTTTAGTATACTGAGTCGTTTCTTTTTTGTCAGGTGTTATACGGAGATAGTAGAGAAAGATGTCTACTTCTTCAAAAGCCTCATCTAGACTGCAACTGTGAGAGAAAAATGGAGGAATATATTTAAATCTTTCTCTGTCCTTCCCCTCTTTCTCTTTTCTTTTTTTTTTTATATAGTATCTCTACTGATGATTGTTTCTATTTAGTGCCCACCTCTGGTAATATTGATAAAGTGTTGGAGATTACGAAATTTGACTGTCAACTGCAATTAGTGGGTGAGTGGGCGGGGCACGAGAACTTGCAATATTGAAAATAATAATAATAATAATAATAATAATAATATAATGAATAATAATAATAATAATAATTAAATTGGTCGTTTAATGGTGATGGATTTAACATGTAATGAATCATGAATGAATGAAATAATTGATTTCACAACTTTTTATTGTATAGTATTATTATGTACATGTACATATTAATATTCATTATTATTATTATTTTTATTATTTTAATTTTATTTTTAAATTAATAGATAGAAGTAAAGTGTCAGCTATTAATGGAGAGAGGAGGGACTGTCAGTTATTAATTGGATTAATTAGATTATTAGGAGGTAATCAAGTCATGTGACCTCTTTTAATTAATAATTACTGGCACTATTATAATCCACCACTGTTGTAGAAAGTTTGAGCTGATTTTGACTAATATTTTTTGAGTTTTTGAAAAAAATAGTCAATTTTTGAAAAGTGTCCTGTACCATGGTTTTTCCAAGAAATGACTTGAAATCACCCCAAATTTTTATTACATTTTCTGATACATATTGATGTACTTATGCTGTGTAGAAAGTTTGAGTTGATTCCGACTTCAATTTTTCAAGTTACGGTGCTTTTTTTAAAAACGGCCAATTTTTGAAAAATACCCAATGATATATAGTCTTTTCCAAAAAATGGCTCCGAAATCATCCCAAATTTTTATTACATTTTCTGATACATATTGATGTACTTATGCTGTGTAGAATGTTATGGCCATTTTAATTACATTATTTCTCTCCCTCCCTTTCTCTCTCTCTCCTCCAGGTCCTTATTTATTAGTTGGTACTCAGCACAGGTTGGTAGGTATCATTAATGGACACGAAATATATCAGATGACTAATTATGATGTCATACCATTTGTTAAGAGCACACTCCATTTAACACAATCACAGGTTAGGGATATACACAGCTTTATGTTTTTTGTGTTGAGTCTACCATTTTTTCATTTTAATTTTTTTAATTCATTTTTAAAACTTCATTAAAATGTGCCAATGTGTAATAGGAAGTGCACTACCGTATAGCCACAAAGTTTCGAGGCAATAAACTTTTGCAAATCAGGCCACAAGTCTTTTTTGCGAATTAACTTTTTTGTGGTTCTTATTTTAAAGCACGTGTTTATAGGGTGATACAGATAATTTTACGGAATTAACTTTTGCGGATACAGAAAATCCACGAAAACAGCGAAAATTGTACCCTTGAAATTAAGCGGCTATACGGTAGTTACCTTTCTCTCTCATTAAACGAGAGGATTCTTCAACTACATGTACATGTATACAGTATAGTCTCTCTTAATGGACACTCTCTATAGCGTACACCTCCATTTAATGGACAGCACCTAGTGTACCAATTACATTCCTTACTGTATAAAATAACCTCCACATAAAGGACACCTCTGTATAACAGAGACACTGTCTTGATCCAAAGTGTCCATTATATAGAGGCTAGTCTGTACATGTATACTTTGTATATGTATTGTATGTATTATGTATACAAACATGTACATACATGTATATGTACTTTCTCTCTCTCTCTCTCTCTCTCTCTACAGGAAAGGGATAATCGTGTCTACCTAGCTATGATCCACAGGGTGTTAGATACTGCTGGTTTCTATTACTCTTATTCTTATGATATCACTCATACCAAGCAAAGACTCCACCAGCTGTCAACTGATAATAATGGATTCTATCAACTGCCTTTATTCAATAGAGTGAGTGTTATATTTATATTTAGCAATGTATCATTATTGTGCTTGGATAAAGTGTATTTTACTAGCATGTCCCCTTCTCTTTTCCATCTCTCTCTCTCTTCCCCTCCCTCCCTCCCTCTCTCCCTCCCTCTCTCTCCCCCCTCACTCTCCCTCTCTCTCCCTCTCTCCCTCTCTCCCTCCCTCTCTCCTCTTAGGCTGATGAAAGGTTTGTCTGGAACGGTCATTTATTGAGGGAGTTTGTAGCTCAACCTGAACTGGACCAGTTTTGTGTCCCCCTCCTTCACGGGTTCATATCAATCAAGAACATTACAATCAATGGGAAACTCTTCACCTTTCATCTGATATCTAGAAGAAGCTGGCACAGAGCAGGTAATATTATTAGTTATAGATATACAATGTACATGTACATGTATACTGGGCTACTAGTGACAATAGTGTCTTTGTTTTATGTGTTCACGTGATGGAAACATCCCAATACATATGAGTGTTGTTATACTATTAACAGTCTGTGATATACTACCAATGGAGTACATTGTATGTCACTATTGGCAGCCTGACATTTAGTCCTTCTTCACCCTCTCTCAATGAATATACATGTACATGTAATACATTATGTCCATGTTCACTTCAACCTGTTGGTACCTGCTGTAGCTTTTAATAAAAATGCGGTAGGAATGATGGATAGTCTTTTATTGGAAAGAGCTCTTCAATGTAGTACATTAATTTATATGATGTACAATGTACATTGTCTGGAACGGTCATTTATTGATGGAGGCTGGGCCAGTTTTGTGTCCCTCTTCTTTATGGGTTTGTGTCAATCAAAAATATTTCAATTAGTGGAAAGATATTGACATGTCATATCATATTTACCTGTAGATGCTGGCATAGAGCATGTTAGAGAGAGAGAGAGATTAAATATTATTACATTTAGTTTAAGAGAGGACACTACGCCCAACTCTTGTTGATAGTCAGACATCGGAGTGTTGGCCACAGTTGGTTGAATCTTCTAGTCTGCCTACCCGCCTAGACTTCTTTCCTGGCTATCTTCCTTGCAACCTGCCCCCAGCCCTCCGTCCACGACTCAGAACACCAAATATCATACCATACAACAATATAAAGAAGTTTTTACTATTACTGTGCTAGCATGTATAGCCGTGGTGAACAGCGGGCTAGGAGAGAGAGAGAGAGAGAGAGAGAGAGAGAGAGAGAGTGTGTATTGTGTGATTAGCATTAAATATAAAATGGACAGAAACATGTACATGTACAAGGTCATTTTTAAATTCTTATTTTATCAAACGTGTGGAGTGTGTGGTTACTATCAGCAGCTAATGTCACTGCCAATATGAACATGTAGTACCTACTCTATTGGCTATTATGACACGTTTTATGCCAACATGTACTACTAAATGTACTACAGTCTTGGGTACATGTACATATTCATGTACTGTATATCCATTATGTGGGACAGAGCTCTAGCTGTTATGTGTTTAGAAGTACATACTTATAAATGTTCAAAGTGTGGTATCAAAGTGTCCATTATACATGTACATGAATGCTTAAAGATTCTACCAAGTACCAACATATTTTTACTAAGACATAAATTAAACCATTGACTGTTGACAGTATCACTATTACACTTCCTTTACTTTATGAGTCATTTATGTACTTG